CCACAAGAGGGGGTAGCTAGACTGTATTTTCAGCAGAAATGATCGCAGTCACAAGGACAGTGAGTCAGAAAGCTGGTTTGATGTTTAACTCGTGATCTTGTAGAATGTGTTCTGAAAGCCTTTAACGGGGAAGTGCAAAGACATGAATCCACAAAGAAATCTGAGAGACTCCAAAAACTCGCACCACCTTTTATCTCATATTAAGTGGATGATTTTTTTAAGACTTGTGAGCATGTTCGTGTTTCTATTTGCACACATATGACAAGCTACAGTTCTATAATTAGTTAAAAATCTGATACGACACATAAGAGGATTGTTCCATATCATTTGTCAAGCTCATTAAAGATTTCTCTGAAATTTGTAATTGTGTTTATTAAATCTGGGGCTGCAGTGGAATAATAAGCAGCTTACTTAATGGGAATTTTTGCTCTTGTGCCAACAAACAGAATACGTGCCTGAAGATATGCTGTTCAACCTCAACTCAGACGACTGGGAAGTGTTTTCAGATTTTTCTGTTTGTCACTGTGTGTGATGGACTACAGACAGATGTGACACGTGAAGGAAGGATAAACACGGCCAAGATTCAAATTAAAGTCTAGTTTTGTTCTTTTTTCCGTCAAACACTGAGAGGTTTTTTTTTATTGTTTAAAGAATGTGGTGCCATTTGATATCAAACCATCTTGCGTTTGCAGCACCATAATAAGTACCTCCACTAAGGGGGGGATGTATTTTTCTGGTAGCATTTGCGTACGTGCATGGGTGCAGGCGTGTCATTCTGTCTGTAAATACAACAGCGGGAGAGGTTTGAATGAATTCTGATAAAACTTGGTAGGAGTCATGTTAACAAACCACTGAAATCTGGCTTACATCCACCAGGGTCTTTAAGGTCAAATCTATAATTTATTGGAAGAAAATTGATCCCAAAAAAAGTCTTATAACTATAAACTGTGATTTTACAAGTGCACCGTATAAAGGTTTAAAATATTAGGTCACATTTGACCTCTGACCTCTCCTTCAAGGTCAATAGATTGATTTTAATGTCAAATTGATATTAAACATATATATACAACTATTTAAAACTATGTTTTTTGCCTATAGGCATACGGGGAATAATTTGTGGAGATTCTAGTGAAGCTTTCATAAAATGTCTTTTTATCTTCAAGACTATGCTCACAATTCTACTGCCTTTAAATATCATCTCACATTTGACCTTTGAGTTAACATTTACATTTCACCTTGCTTTTCTGTCAAGTTGACCTGGAAAGTATATATCTATATCTTTAAAGATAACACATAAGATAAGATAACACTATAGAATAGTAGTAGTAGTAGTATATTCATTATTCATTTACAGTTATTTGCAAATCAATACCTATTATCTACATAATGTTTATATTCAAAGTGCAGTACTATTTCCGGAAAATAAGGTGCCTTCACATGTGTGGACTTTATATTAGAATATTGAGAAGAATAAGTTTTAAGGGTAGGGTTAGGGGGTTAAAGTCACCCTTGATTCGCTTCTTAACTTCTGTTAGTGTTTTAAAGCTGCTTTGAAGTTTTCAGTTTTTCTTTCCCTGTTTGGAAGTACTGACGAAACGTGATCAAACTATGGTGATTTGACCCCCTCATTTTTTTTTGCGGGGAGTCTAATCATTTCAAATTTATTGTGAAATATTAACACTTTAAGTTTAGTTTTTAATTGTATATAATTTCTGTTAATCCTCCTGAACCTCATGTACTTATGACTAATTTGTAATATTTTATTTATTTATTTTAAATGACATCAAAAACATCTGTAATGAGTTGTAATCAAATGTACATAATGTAAGCCACGCCTCTCTGTAGACATTATGGCCCCGCCCCCACCAGGACAGGCTTCGGTTTACGTTGGTTTACGGGGCGTTGTTTTCCGGTATTGAGTATCTAGATTTTCAGGTTACACAGGGAGTGGGCTGTGCGTGTGATTGCTGTTCGCGGATGTGAGCGTGTCAGGGAGTTTGTAGTGCGTGTGCGTGTGTTTGTAAACGTTCACTGCTCGGATACTGTCACCGCTTTGCACCGCGGGCAGGCTCCGTGTTCCTACATGCAAGTTACTGTGGCAGCTCCACCATTCCTGCCCAGCAATGACCGAAAGCCCCGAGACCAAAGCAGCCGACGACGAAGTGTGTCGGCGGGTGAAGAACGGGCTGAAGCCGGAGAGAAACGGTTCGGCAAAGAGCCTCTACCCCCGCCCCTGCCATGAGCGGCCGCCCAAGAACCGCTGCCACACCGCGGAGGAGGAGGTGAGGCCCGGGATGGGACGGGTCGGATGGGTTTGTGAAGCCGGGGAAAGCATCCACTCTGTGGACTCGTGACACCGAAGGATGCTGTTAAATTCCTGTTATTATGATAAAGTCCTGTGTTGTTCGGGCATGACAGCTGACCGAGTCCTGCTGCTGACAGCAGTCTCACAGCATGCTGTCATCGAGT